ACGGACCTTGTGAATGGAAATGACCAAAAAACCACTAGATTAATATAGCTATTTTTGTCAAAATCGGACGATTTTTTTACCCTGCTGTTTTCAGGTTGTTTTGTGTTCTGCACCTTAGGATCATACGGTCGCGTCCTGTGGCACCATAAGGAGTTTGTGAATGAAAGCATCACCACAAAACAGCTTGGTAAAAGTAACTCCGTTTCGATAAAAAAAAAAAAAAAAAAAGTAACTCCGTTTTAGTTTTTAGTTCCAGCATGTTCAACATCCAGAGAGCCAGTTACGTTCTGGAGACCACTACGAGTGAATACCATGTTTACAAATGTGTTTCTGTTCTTTATGCTAGTATTCAAGTTTCGCTCTTCGTACGAGTACGAGTGCCTGTCAGTTGAATGAAGACTATCCCTGTCTGTCTCCCCTGCAGTCAGTTAAGCGCCTAGACATGTCAAGTATCACCGCCTAGCAATCATCATATGATGCCGCAAGGCTAAATAGGCCTACTCAACCTCGTCATTTTGCATGTGATTAGAATATATTTGGTTCAATTGTACGTATGGTATTGGTGTTATTACCTGCAGAAGCAATCAACGAGGATACAATTAGGCCTATTTATTGTATTATTGTACAGCGAAATTGCTTTTTTCTGCCTTATTTTAAAAAATAATTTTTAGTGATTTTAATGAACATTTAGTATTATCTTAAAGTACTTTATATTTCATATAAAAATAAAGGCTATTAAAATCGTGTTATGTATATTATAAAATATGCAAATGATGAATATGAAACAATTGGAAATGTCTAAAGGCGTTTCTATCTAAACTTCAAACCAAAAGAAAAGCGAGACTTCGAATAATAAAAAATAGAAATCATTTTTTAAAGCAGCTGTAGGTGCCACCAGAACGCAAAACTGTTACATTTTTTTGCAGAAAATTGGCAAAATTTTCCCTTTTAAAAGTTTTACTTTCAGAATCGACAGATTACTGTATGTTCTGTTCATAGTTACCAACCTTAAAGATTTGAAATGCGAGAGTACACCAGTTTGTTGGGGGGGGGGCACTGGGGTCTAGAGGCGGAGCTCTAAGGATCTGAGCATTTTAAGCTGTTTTAAATCGATTTCAAGGAGCGTTTGTTGACAATACCGGGTACAAAAAATACTTTTAATAAAGACACATACAATTTGAGTTTCAATTTAGTGCCTACATTATGTTTAATTTGAGCACCCGAACTATGTACATAAACATTTCATTACTTAAACAAACAAAAAATGAATAGGCATACTGATTAATGTTTAGTAGCGCGTCAGTGAATTAAGTATTCACGTAAATACTGTCTAATGATTCAAGTTTTAATTGCATGACCGTTTTTATATGTTTAATAAAACTAATTTCTTCTAATTTTAAATAGATTTTCCCCTGAATTTGTGACAATTTGTTATCGCGCATAGACCTGTGCTAAATGCGTGACAAATTTATGAAATGCGGGACCGTCCCGCATTTCATAAAAAAAGCCACTTCACAACCCGTCAACAAATAGCCGGTCGAGAATGGTCAGCATGTGGTTGTTCGAACTAGGGGTGGCGCCAGAATTTGCCCGACGGGATGGGGGACGAGGTCCCCGACGAGGGGGGGGGGGGGGGGGGCGATGCCCCCGACGAGGTGTCAGATTTCCCCGACGAAAGCAAAGTGGGCGTGAACGAGCTTCGATTAAAAAGTGGCCCCGAAAATTTTGACAATTTAAGGATTTCAAATTCTTATTTAATCGATTTTAGAGTCTACTAAATATGTAGAAAATACATATAATTGTTTTCTCCCCGACGAATTGTGCTTTTTCTCCCCGACGGGGGGGGGGGAGTAGTGGGCAGCTCTTCCCCCCCCCTGGCGCCACCTCTGGTTCGAACCCTCGATAAGGTTCACAAGCTGAATGCAATAGCTGCGCCAAACCGCCTTCCCCATAACCTTGGGTCCATAATCTCAAAATTGGGACTGAGGTGGTGTCGACACTCACACTTCCCTACCGCCAAATCCTGCATCCGCCCCATAGAGGCATGTAGGCCTAGAGTTATTTTAACATCGTTGTCACTAAAATTAAAGCCAGGCTCCAGATGAAAAATAAATTGATATGTTGTACAACTGATTTTTCTAAAGCTTTGTCTACACTATCATATTTTATGCAACAAAAAATGTGATGTGCCGATATATGGGTACGATGACGTCATATCACATATCATCAAATTGTATCAAAAAAGTTGAACGTGTTTAACTCTAATGTTCCATCAAATTTTATGTGACACTTTTTTTGATGAAATTTGATAGTGTAGACAATGCTTTAGACACAAAAAAGCATATTTGATAAAAAAAATTGGAATGGTTATTGAGATACAGATTTTTGAATACCGTACTTCAACACTGGGAGGAAAAGGGGTGTAACCACCCTTTTTGTTTCCACTAGTTTGTTTTTGAATATTCTAAAATCTGTATCTCATTAACCGTACCCGAGCTTTTCGTCAAAAATGCTTTTTGTGTCTTAGAAGAATCAGTTGTACAACATATCAAATTGTTTTTCCTCCAGAGCCGGACTAAAATATCATTTGATTGTGTAACCCTTGGTAGGCCTACCACTTATCTCGTAACAAGTTCCTCATGGAAATATATTTGGCACTGAGATTATGTTGGGTATACAACCTATAATGTTATGGTTTTGAGAGATTTGCAACTACTGTATGTTTGTTTTTGTTTTTTTTTTTTTTTTTACAATTCTCGGTTTTCCGTTTAATAATTCGGGCCTATAACAGGCGAATGTCCCTTACTTTTCTTACCTGGAAAGTGACATTTGAATAAATCGAGGTAAACATAATATGGAAGTCCTCTGCGACGTCAATATAACAGTGACTGTGTACCCGTCGGACATTACATCACATTAAATCTTCGAAAAAAAATTTTGAGGCGCATCCCCGACGCCTTTCCCCCCCCCCCCTCCAATTTCCTGAGGGGAAGGTCGTTCATAATTTTAATGACACGGCTACCAGTACCAGTGCAGAAAACTCAAAAGATTAATAGGATATAGTTAACTTCTGTATTGTATAGGCTATTCCGAGTCCATACTTTTAAGACCTGCGCCTATTATAGCATACGACTCTTTGGTATGACTTCAAATAGTATTCATTGCAGTTCCTGAGAAAAGGAAGGCGATTCGCCATCCATTGCGAGCGTTGAGCGCGTCTTTCCAGTGCAGTATTCGATCGATGCACAGCATATTACGGATGACGATTCTATTTGTATGATGTAAGCCTATGCTATTGAAATCATTATGAATGTGTTGACCCATAACATATTCATCAGGAAGCCTAGGCATTCTACGAATATCCTTTCGAGTTCGACTAAGCAAATAATGGTCTCTTTCATATTCAAATATAGTAAAATAAGTTATAGATTATAGTCTAAGTTCTCAAAATAAAATACCCCAGCACTAGCAAATTATCCATCAAGTTAATTCGGTAGGTTCTGTGAGCAAAGCATTAATAATTATTATAGGTAAATTGTATTATAATATTACTATGTATGTGCTGAGGATATTTCAATATTTTCTTCGATTCAACACCAGTGAAATGCCGTTTATTAAACATAAAAGCTTTAAATATAATGATATATGTATCCTTGCATATTAGTGGTCCGAGCAGCAGTCGTTGTATTCGTGTTACCAGAGTACAGTAAGTGTTTTATCACAGTCGAATCATGTCTAGTATCTATATCTTTAAATATCCAATCGGTTCTCGTACCGTAAACCAACGTCTGCCGGGCGATTTTGACCACTTTCTTTTAAGCAATTAAAAATAAAATGTATCAAACAATATCCTAAATTCATGTAAACACGTGCGTTTATGGGACAGCACGTGTTTTTAAGACACGCGCGTATTCCTGGCCCAGTTCTGTTCCTAACTTTGACTGGCACACCTGAAAGGTCCATCCAATTCTGACCAACAAAATGTATGATTTATATTATATGATACTAATTATTTCCAGCATTACGCTGTGTAATGGAGTCTACCAGTTATTTGAATCTCTTCAACCATGAAGTCGCTGTCTAATTGTTTTGATGCTTGCCTTGACAGTGAGAGGTCGCAGGTTCGAATCCTGTCAGAGGGATTTTATTACACAATATCTTTATTCATTTAGTTTTGGCCTTGTTTATTCTCATCACCTAGCCTATTGTTTCTAATCATGCTTGCATGACTTCTCACTTTATACTATCTGGCTTTTTCTACCGTCACAATAGCAGGCAATGTATGATGGGCAACTGCGTTATTTTCTGCCCTGTGTACGCAGAAAGTGTATGATGGGCGTATTCAAGGAAAATTATTTTCCCAAGTGCTGCTGCATACCCTCAAGAAAATAATGGAATCAAATTTCCGTGACCTTGGCCATTGACCTTCCAAAAATAGAATGGTGTCTTTCTTTTCTTGTACCATTCCACTAAATTTTATAATCCCTTTATTGGTTTTTTACGTAATCTTGCTAACAGACAGCTGTAAATAAAAATATGGCTACTCACATTACACAGACACAATCAAATTGTAGTTCAGCAACTTTATATACAATAGTAAATTAACATTAGCATTATTTTTATGGATGACACACATTACCAGAAATAAAACCATTTACAATTTAAACATTGCTAATATGTATTAGCTATTTTTAATAATTACTTTTGGGAATGTAAACACTGAAGCACTTCCTCTATCGTCCAGCTGGATCGTTAGACCTGACATTAACTGTCAACTTCCCAAAATAACCATTCATATCACAATAAACTTGAAAAGATATTTATTTATTTATAGGACTACATTCGTTGAGAGCTATTTGAGAGCTATGCTACACGACGTTTTATTATACTGTATTCTTTATTCGAACACTGTATTTACCTTTCTTTGATGATTTATATTATATACATATATATACACATACATACATATATATAATATATATATGTGTATGTATATATATATATATATATATGTATATATATATATATATATATATATATATATATATTTATGTCTCTCTCTCTCCAATTAAAGACCACTTGTGGGACCAGGGTTTCTATGGTCTGTAGCGGCAGAAAAGTGGTATTAAATTGGAGATGGTCTATAATTGGAGGGGTCTTTAATTAGAGGGAGACCTGTATACATATAAATACATACATTTGATATATATTTATTCAAATTCACACATGTATCGTAGAGTCAATTTAACTTAATTATCATGATGAGGATGTAGTTTGAATTGCATTGGTCGTGTGCTCTGTTCCATGTACAATAACTGCATCAAATGCAGATGTTTCGGAGTGTTCAAGATTACAATTCTTCGATGGAGGGCAAATTGATTCGGTAAATTGTGTCAATAGAATGCTTTGTTCAATGTCGTCATCTTGCTGGCATGATTCAACGGTCAACGAATGGTTCATTTCATCAGACTCCTTCGTGCTTGTATTTTCATTCATGTGCGCTTTAATGATCTCCAAGTCACGTGCTATACCTGCGATCATGTTGCTTGCGGACATGCCCACAAGTTTCCCTTTGCGTCCTTTTGAAGTATTTTGCGCAGCTTTAGCTTTCAAAGCCATCTCTTGTTGACGACTTTTCTTTTTTATTTTGATTCTGTTGGATCGCCTGGTACCTGCTTGATCGGCGCTGGCGTTCATCTCAGCATTATAGGCTTCCTCCATTTGCAATATTTCGTCCAGTTCTTTATCAATATTTTTGCTTTTTCCTGTAGAGGTGACCTTATTCTTCTTCAGTTGAGGGCAAGTGTGATGTCTATTATATCCCTTATTGCATTTTTCACACCTGTTAGGATAATCGTCGGTGTGCATTCGCATGTGGTCTGTTAAGTTAGTTTTACGGCTGAATTTCTTATCGCAGACTTGACATCGAAATGGTTTGACGCCGCTGTGCGATATAACATGGGCTTTAAGCTTATCCTGTCTGTTGAATTCCGACTTGCATCCTGTCACAGACTGAAAGGGGCACTTGAAGCGTTTGACTGTGTTGTGAATTAACATGTGACGTTTCAGTTTATCTTTGCGATTAAATGCTGCCTGGCACATCTCACAGGCAAATGGCTTATATCCAGAATGAATCAACATATGTGTCTTTAGATAATGATCTGTCTTAAAGAATTTGTCGCACATCTCACATTTGAAGGTGCCGACACTAGTATGAGTTGGTAGATGGCGTCGTAAGTAGCGTTCACTTGGAAACACCTTGCCGCAATGCTGGCAGTCAAAGCGATGATTTGTGGTGGCATTGTGATGATCCAAGGCTGCTTGAGTGGAATATTTACTTAGACACTTGTTGCATCGGAAGGTTCTGCAAAATAAATATGTTTATATATAAACATAAATATTTTATGAAATAATGTGAACCAAGTGGCCAAGGGGCAAGGCAGGGACATCGCAAACTTAAAATAGAGGTATATACATCTAAATCACTTGTAATTTAAAGAACCCACTGCATCTTTCGGAAGAGTACAGATATTAGGCACGGACCACGTCCATACACAATTCACCACAATGATGCTGCGAGTTATGGGTTATTCTCTTACCTTTCCATAACGTAAAATGATTACAAAAAAAAGAACTTGATTTAAACATATGTGAAAGAACAGAACAATCTTTAATGTCACTAATATTTAAAGCACTTTTTGTGTTGGACCTTTGGCCCATGGTGGCCTCTTCGACACTACTTTTTAAACTAAATGTTTAATAAATAAAAAATAAATAAATATGTTTGGTGTAAGTCAGAGCATGATTATATTCAATAATTTTTAGTGTAAAGTACGTCCCTATTCCATCAATTTGCTTCCCCTGTGAAATACAGATAATAGCACACCGTCAAGAAATTGTAATCATATTGCCAATGTGATTGATGTACACTTTTCCGGAAAAAAGCAGTGGATTGTTTTACCGGATACTGCCTAATTCACTGTCAGAATTGCTTCGGCTGTTGTAGGTTTCATGGACCAAGCACAAATTTCTTAGTTAGCTAACAAAACAAGTTTACTTAACTGTTTTTATTAAAAGAAACTGTGGAAGTGTATTTGTGAATGAGAGCACTTACTTCTGTATGACTCTTGGACCCTGATTAGGATACAAACTGTGCGAGTACTGATGCACACCCAACTCGTATAGAGAAGGGAAGTGCTTACAACACATGTGACATCTATAAGACATCTCCATCTCATGAGTCTTGGTGTGCTCAAGAAAAGATTCTAGATTCTTGAATGTTTTTCCACAAGACTTCAAAATACACTTGAATACCTAGGATTTGGAGCACAGGTTTTACTGTTATATTATGGCAGAGAAAATGTTCATAATTGATATTCCAAATTTGGATATAACATGGACGATACACGTACTGTATGTTCTGGCTAAACTGTTGTACATCAACATTATGAAAGGCTATTCTTCATTGACAATACAATTTGGAAGATCATACAAATACAGTTGAACTTGCACAAGTTGAATCCAAAATGGCATTGAAAACTTGTTTGACTTTTGGCTTGTTTGGCATGCAAAAGTAAGCCTGACTTGTTCTAGTTAGGCAAAGTCGACTTACGCAAGTTTAACTGTACAGCATATGATGGTACCGATAGAGTATGGTAAAAAAAAAGAAGATTCATGTGATGAATCTGATGGTACAATTTCCTAATGGGTTCACCGCACTACACAATCAATTGAACATAATGAAATTTTACAACATACTACAGAACAGTAGGTCAACATTAGAACTTACTTGCTCATTTTTGTGCTGGGTCATATGCGTCTTCAGTGCAAAATAGGACTTGAATGATTTATCACAGAAACTACACAGGTAGGAGTTGTCAATGACGATGCACTCTGCTGGTGATGTTGAATTATACTCTTCTGTACAATATATAATCACTCATTTTAATTTACAGTATTACAAAACATATTTAGACACTTAAAAAACATTAAAATAATGGCAACACATAGCATGCAAACAAGATGTGCCGACACAATTTGATGATGATACAATCTTTAAACTATTTACAGTAATAGCGTTTGCTGCCATCCTAATTCATTACTTGTGGTAACTGCCCCTTAGTTTATTTGAAAGGCTTTCAACTTAGAAAGAATGTGTTTTGAACATTTCTCACAGTGCCCTTATATGGTACCACAGTCGTGTCATCACGATGCCAGATAGCGCTCTCTGTTGTCAACAAACGTTGGTTACCATTCAATACGCCTAAATGACTTCATAGGCTTTCTGGAATAGGCGTTTTAAAATCTAATATTTTACCATCAAAATGTACTAAAAGCACAAAAGCTCGCATTATATTAATTATCGAACAAACATTTAATCATCAATTAAAATTTACAAAGAAAAAGTAAGATACAACATCTTAATTATGTTAGAAATTGGGATCAATGGTTTGTCAGTGGAGAAAATGGGTTGAAAGCATTTTGCAGCGTAGCACTGTATTACTCAATACAAAACTGTACATGCTATCACTGATATTTGTCCTTTTTTTGTGTTTGTTGATCGTTTTCTACATCAGAACAATAAGGTAGTTAACAGTTTAGATGATTGAGCGAACTGGATGATGAGACGACCAAGTGGCTGAAGACGGATCTTCCATTGTAATTTTTTACTTGAACAAAGATGTATACCTTGCATGTTCAAACACGGAATTTTTAAGGGTTCCCTTTTCCTTAGAGTAATGATTAATTTTGTAATGTGAACATCATTAGAGATTATTGTATTTCTTATTGTTTAGCATCTTGCACCAGAACCACTGAACAAACTGTGTTGGTCAACGCAATAATATAGACAATGCTAAGCAACGTTTTTTTTCAGACTATTATCAAAAATCATCATCAAGCACTCAAATACAACGTAGATGGATGCGTCGGCCAATCTTAGCGCGTAATAGTGATTAGCTGGCAGGGAATGACTTTGATACTAAATAAAATTACACATTATAATTCCAAAAAAAAAAATGGAGATTGTCAAATATCTTTGCTTCATTATTACAGTAAATACAAATTTAAAAAAATTAAAAAAAAAAAAAAAAAAAAAAAAAAAAATCAAATTACCAGAGACTTGCTGGTTGGATTCATTCTCTTGCTCAACATTATTTTCACAGTCTTTTGTTGTTAATTTACTGATTGGCTGAAGAAAAGGAAGAGAATTACAATTAATAATAATAATAATATTTCACACACCCTCATTTATATAATTGTCAATAATATTTCTATTTTCTACTTCGTCTGGATTCTTTTTACAAGATCATTTTGCTGAATGGGGAAACAAAAAAAAAAAAAAAAAAAAAAAAATATTAGTTTGAATAAATAAGGTTTGAAAGTTTTGTTTAAAGACAACTCACCTTTTTAGGTAAAGTGTTTCCACGTCCTGATGGCCAAACTTTGTGCGTCTGCATATGTTTTTTAACATTGGATTTTTGTGCGAAGGCCCTACCACACACAATACACTGAAATGGTTTTTCACCAGTATGGCTTCGAACATGTTGGTTTAAATCAAACGACTTCTGGAAAGTTTTATCACAGTATGTACATTTAAACTTGCCGTCTCGTTTACTAATCCTAGTATTACTGCCAGAGGATTTTTCCCGAGGAAGTTCGACATTATCTTTGACAAAATTGAAGTCATTCAAGGTTTTAGGTACCTTATGTTGGGTAACAAGTAGATCGTCCTGAACCACTGTTTGGGTATTGTCAGCAATGCTAATGAGAGGTGCTGTTGTTGGTGTAGGTCTTGCAATTACAGGAGTACTAAAAGTTACTTGATTCTGAGACAAGCTTGCGAATGAGGCTGTATTGATAGTTGCTACGGACGTGAAGCCTTGCTGATTACCGTTACGGGGCTGAGTTTGCTGGGTCACAAATGGAACACTGGTTAAACTATTTGCAGCGTGTAGCACATTATTTTGAAGGTGGTCAACTGAAGCAAATGGTGATATCAGAACCTCTTCACTGAGAATAACATTTTGACCGGTCAGTTGAGTAAGAGGAGATTGTGGCACCGAAGTGTTGAATTGGATAGAGCGACTTAAAGGGTTCTGAGAGAAAGAGCTTGTAAATGCACTATTAACTGCCCCAACTCCAGCTCCCGATCTTGATATATGGCCTAAACAATTGTCTTTTTTATGGTTCATAAAAACTGGTAAATTTGTGAATTGCTTCTTGCATTTGCCACACTGGAAGACATCTTCATCATCTAAAATTTCCACCCAAAAAAAAAAAAAATCAGTTAATAAGATCAATTAAATTTTATAAAAATAAATTACTAACGAGCCGAAATATTTTAAAATGGAAAAAGAATGAAAAGTTGATATTAAAAACAAGTCAAAGTCATAAAAATCGATTTGAATGTTTACATACAATAATTAGCAAAAGATCGTATCTGTTTTCTGCTGCTATAGCAGGGGGTCTAGCAGTGCTATCCGCTGCACGGTGCTCTATTATAACTAGCCAGCTGCTCAGGCTTAAGGCCGCTGGATGTCCCCCAGTGAAAATTTGTTGCTGACGCTGTTTGTTTCAAAATAAACCCAATATAATGATGTATATCCCTGCTGTCAATTTTCTTTTTAAACCCTACCTGGTTCAAAACAAATTGTCATAAAAAACTAACATCTGAGTCTTCCATGTACTCCTATGCTATACAGCGATGCCTACTGCAAGTCTCTAAATTGTGTGCGAATTATTATTTAGAAGAGTTAAACAAGATTAAATAAAAGACTTTTTTTATTTTAGTCAAAAGACAAGGATGACAAAGCTAATGAAAATTACAAAAAAATTTATTTCATCTTATTTCTATATTTTTCGCATTAAATTTTTCATATTTATGTGAAATGCAATGAGTATTTTAATTAATTAGCATACTGACCTGCAGGTGGTTCCTGCACAGAAGCAGATGTCTCCAGCAGTGACTGAACTGCAAGTGCTGTTTGATTATCAATACCTACATTCAGAAGAAAATGCAAAGAATTATACATTGTATAATGTGGGTATAGATATGACAGTATATACAAATATCAAAACACAATATGGGAGAGTTGAAGCTTGGCTGGAATTTTTAAAATGTGACATATCACATTCATATATTGTATATATACAAATTTTGTATTAATACAATATTACTAGGCTAGGACCAGTTTAGAGGTTTTACAGTATGCATTGCAATCGATGTCCTAATTTTGTTCACTATATAGAAGAATTTGCAGGTTTCTATAGTAACTCAACTGTTTTATGTAATCATTTTATGATTATGTTTCTGGTGTAAGTTTAAGGCTGTGTTTCTGCAGCACTTATAAATCTCTGATAAATTATCTTCAAATTCCCTCCAAATATTCTATCCATCATGCAAAATTATGGACAACAATACAATTTGTTCAACATCAAAACATCGGTTTTGTTGACCTAGCAGGTGACCCTTTTTTGTGTGAGATGGATAGGCAATGGCCAAAAACAAATTTGTTCGGTAACATTTCACTCTGGGAAATGTACTGGCACACTGATGTTTCACTGTCCTTCTATATAGGGATTTAGAAGAAGACAAAAAAGAATGTTAAAAACTTTGTTTGGTGTGCTTTATAATACAATAATAATAAAGTAAGAACTTATATAGCGCCATTTAAAAAACCGAAGTAATTATCAGTGGCGCTTCATGTTATTGTTGGAATAAGTGCGTTTTAAGTGATTTTTAAAATAAAGGAATTGATGCTGATTTGTTAATGTGAAGTGGTAGTGCGTTCCAGAGTGTGGCTGCAGCAAATGAAAATGATCTGTGTCCGAAGGTCTTAGTGTTGGTGCGAGGGACAGAAATTAAATTGAGATCAGATGAACGTAGGGAACGGCCAGGCACATATTTGGGAAGAAGTTGATTAATGTATGCGGGTTGATTGAGAGTCAGTGACTTATAAGTCAGTAAAAGGATTTTATATAACGATAGGTAGGGATAGACCAGAGCCCAGTGAGTGCATTCGTTTTTTGTATCTACTGTAGGCCCTACTGATTCTCTTTGGGCCTTGTTTCCATAGCAAAAAATAACAAAATGGCTGCTTTCCAATAATTTTTATTGGGAAATAAGTGCTGCAGAAACACGACCTAAGTAAATGGGTCAAAGTAGTTACTTTTTTTTTAAACTTGGAAATTGATCTCTTTCGACTAAATACCTAGCTGCTATGCCCAACATACATTATTATTAGGCCTACTGTCCTTTACTTTTAAACAGCAGTTTGATTCTGTCTCAATATTTCCATGTTATTAATTCATATGAATGAATGATACTGCAGTAAATTCTGTTTAAATATTTCCATAATTCATATGAAATGAATGATGATGCATCATGGTAATGGTATAGGGCACATAGAAAAACTGTTAGATTATTACTCCTGCCAGCGTCAACAATTTGAGAAATATTGATGCGGGAATAAAAAAAAAAATTTTTGCTGCATCATTTATTTCAACAGCATAAAAAAAAACAATGAAATTTTGTGACTGGAATTACATTTTTTTTTTTTTTTTTGCTTTTTAAATTTTTTATTCAGAAATCTAGTATTGGAAGTACATTTTCTTTAAAAAAACAATAAAGTTATTAAAATATTTACAATATTCTTGCCAAATAAAAACAGTCCCCTCCCTCATCGATAAAAAAAACCAACAATATTCTATCCCTATTGTTCTGAATAAAAAAAAACACCTTCTCTCATCACTTTTTTTTTTAAAGAGTTAATCTAATAATATTTTCTAAGTGCCCATAGGTGATTCTATGATTTAACTGATGAGAAGGCTATAAGCATAGGCCTGCTCTGGAGCAGAGGCCGGCCTAGCTAGAGTCTAGAGGCCTAAATTAACTAAGGTTAGCCTAAGCCCTAGCTTTAGTTAGGAAAGGTATGGTTGGTTGTGGCCCATTCATTTGTTGTGGTTTAACTTTACAATTCGTATATTGTTTGTAGCATAAATAAGCCTAATCACACTTGGTATTATATTAATTATCATATTATTATCAAACTATCAAACAAGTGGGCCTATTAATCAGGTAATCCAGAATGGCCAGTTTCATGGGAAAATGTTAGGCTCAGGATTAGCGCTTTAGGAGGCCTACGCCCAGCAGAACAAGCGCTCAAAATGCCTACGCAAGACATAATTTTAATATTTATATGCTAGCCTCGGCTCGGTCAGTTGTCAGGTAGGATTGGTTTGCTTGCAAAGGCCTAGATAAGCCAAGAAATATGTTTGTCTCGACGCCAAAAGCAAACACGGATTGAGCATTCAGTTAATCAACTAAATGTTCAAACAATACAGCTAAATTAATAAATATAATGAAAAATACAAACCTGTCAGGGCTTCAAAAAGCGCCTGCGAGGATGCCATTTTGAGGTTTTGTTACAGCTTTTGTCTGATTGGTCTCGTATGATCACATGATTTTTGTTAACAAATTTTGAAGATATGGGGAATCTTCTGAGGCTCCAATGCACTGTGTGACCACTGCTTGGGATTTATCCCAAGATCTTGGGATTTTTAATCACACATTGGAATCTTGGGATTCTTTGTTAAATTTTCATTTAATCTTGGAATTTTTGGAATGATATGGAATTTTAAATTTGTTATCAATTAGTGAACAAATATGACCTTTATAACACCATAGTTGACAGTTGTGAATGAGGGTTGTTTGTTCAAAATAGACAAGTTGTCAGTGTGTTTCATTCAGATTACTTACTTAATTATGGTAATAATTTGTTAGATATACAAATAAGGGTAATCTTAAAACTTTACTGTAAATTGCTTGGTTTTGTTTTTGTTATGCTATTTATCCGTTTGTTGTTGTTGTTTTTTTTTTTTTAACTGTCTTTTGCTTTCCTTTGTTTATATTTATTGTTCTTGGGTGCGCCATCAAAGTGATGGGTGCCACTGATCTGAAAGTGAACTCAATAAATCGTATCGTATCGTGTAGGGCCTATCGTATCGTATCGTCTAATTAATAGTAATTTTGGAATCATTTTCAAAAAAAAATAATAAGGTGCATGTTTTAAGCTAAATCTCTCGATATGTGTCCCATTCGACGGATATGGTGTTTGCTTCAGTGTAGGGTGTAAAGTTGAGCAAGAAGCATAATTATTGGTAGGCCTATAGATTACTAATTATTATTATGCATTATTTTTTATTTTAGTTTTTTTATATTTTTTCCATGTTTATTATCTGATAATATTTATATTATTGCCACTATTGTATATACTACATGTATATAAGTATCGGTATGGTTTATATTTCGTAATAATCTATTATTCATATCTTCATTTCAAAGCTTTTCATTTTTGTGGTGGCCATTTTCCAAATATAAATTTTATTTTCTTTGTATAAGAGACAGTTCTACACATCATACAGAGACAGGTGTGGGTGTGTGGGTGTGTATGTTAATAAAAGCTTGGAAATTAAAAAAAAAATATTACACCTAGATGCCAGGAGATCTTGCACTGTTTGATACTTTGCTAATGCTTTTAATTGTGTTTTAATTTGACAATTAGAAGTTCAATAGAACTTAACAAAAATATTTAACTCTTATGCCTGCCACCTTATGGGCCTACCTTCCTCCGAAAAGAAGTTGATAAAAATCAACTCGTTTTTTGCAATAAAGTATGATTTGTGCTGGAATATTATACAAATAAAGGCAATTGCCATGTCATTTTTTATGTAAATGATTTTAATTCAGATAAGACATTCCCTACCACCACCACCACCACCACCACCACCACAACTTCAACAAATTATACACACTTGAATCAAACGAACTAGTTGGTCTCGAAATCCAGACACTGTTTCGTTACAGTATACAGGAATTCGTTGGAAAAGCTTTAAAATTGAGTTTTTGAAATTTTTATGTAGGTTTTATGTAGGCTTATATACTAATATGTTGCGAATCTTAGGATTTTTAAAGCAATCTTGGGATTTTTTAGACTGAATCTTGGGAATTTTTATTTTCCCCATTGGTCACACTGCTCCAAGTCAGTAGGTCAATGCCCCGCACCCGGCAGTGGCTGCCGCCACGCCCACTTTCGAAAATATTAAAAGAAAAAAAAAAGAAGAAATATGGACTTAATAACAACAACTATAATCATAATAAATAATAATAATAATAATAATAATAATAATAATAATAATAATAATAATAATAATAATAATAATAGGCCTAATTACATCTTTACTTTGTGTAAGAAAAACACAATTTTGCTCAATTCACACGAACACAACATTATCCCCCGACGCCGATTTGTCTTTTAGGACGCCGCTTTTCAATCAGTAGATTGAATACCTACATGCAAATATCGTACATTGTATAGTGTAGGCCTATCGTTTATATTAATAGTAAAGTTTTTTTTAAATAATTTTAATATACTAGTGATCAGACACTCAATGGAGTATAAAAGTTCTTTTATTTATCATTTTAAATGCCCATGTTACATAGTTTATTATTATATAAGACAGATAGATGCTTTTAATAAACAGACTAAGGATTACTTTTTTAAATGTTTTTTTTTTAATGTTTTGTTTGATTACCAGTATATAGACACTCGAAAAATGGGCCTACTATCATGTATTGTTCATTACCTGTGCATCATATTACTGTACTGTGTCTATGCAAGTAAATACGAACACTGTGTATACGGAAATGCTGACAATATACAAAATGTATTTGCTTCCTTTATTAAGCCGTCTAAAATCGTTTTGATAAGTGGTAAAGACAAAGCTTCCTGGCCAATCGGGGGAGGGGACCACCCCTCCTAAAACCCCCTCCCTCGGACCCAAGGTCCTCATAGGTGTGCTTCGCGCCACCCCGGCAGATCTTACCTGGATCCGCCCCTGATCGAGACTTTGTTTATACAAATAATAAATTTCATATAAAAATGAAATTTTATTTTTGGCCAATTAGCGCACCCACCGCCGGCCAAGACAAAATGGAATTTTCAGAAAAAATGTTTGTTTCATTTTTTTTTTTTTATAGATTTTTATTACGCCTACCATTTCCTTGAAATCTCCAAATTACGGAGAATTACGAATCAAAATGTATATGTATTTCTTCCTAATTAGGCCTATATAAATTTAAAGCATTTAGGCCTAACCATCTCATTACTACATTGTTTACATTCACCAATAAAATTTAATTTTTATCTTCTCCGTCTGGATATTTTTGGCAAAACCTATTTGCTTATATAGAAAATAAAATTAATTTTTTTTTATTTGTTCGCGAAACAATGTATAAAAAACGTATCGCCTATATAAGACGAGAATTTTTTTATACCTTGTTTGGCGAACCTGCCGCCCACCAACAGGCCCCCAGTGATGATTTCGAATAAAAGTAAACTTATCGCACCCTCCACCATGAAAAATGGAAATTTTAGAAAAATTTTCTTTCATTTTATTATGTCCACCACCACTGCCCCAAACCTCCAAAAAATAAGTTCTGGACGCAGGGTTCCCGGAACGCCGCCCTCAGCGGCGAGTGCGAAGCACAACCCGGGCTCAAAAGTGGAACGTGAAATTTGGATATGGTTTCGTAGTCAGATTTGCGAGAAAAACTTCAGCTACCCGTATTTCTCGACTGAGACGTCAGTGGGAGCTGTAATTTGTATGATTAGGAGATTGTGCAACCCTTCATTCGTATTAAGGGAATTTACGCCCAGAAACTTTAACCAGTAGTTATTAATATTTTGGTTATAATAGAAAATATTCATTTTTTTGGTGACGTCACACTCACATTAGTTAGCATGCATACGTCATAAGCTAGGTACGTCACCTTTTCCTGGCAAGGCAAACTTTCCCGGCGTGCTTTTTTCATGGATAAACAAACAGCACTGCTTTGCACATGGAATGCCTTTGCCCAAGCCAGGGCTACAAGAGCCGCATTGTTAGCATTGTATAATACTTAAACCATGGAGGTATTATTCACTATAATACCTCCATGACAGTACAGACGTTTGCTAGGTAACAACGTGATTGCACCTTCCTTCCCAGGTGTTCATGTAACACTGACATAATTGTTAGCTAACCAGTTTATGTATTCAATCTTTGTGAAAGTGAGTACCACGGCGTACTCATTTTCACAAAGCACATTTGCATCCCCTCTTGGAAAGAGGGATTCGAAATAATTGTTAATTGAATTAATCACCGTAATTTAGCTTACACTTATTATGAATTTAGGGAGCACTTAAAATGTGAAATAATCATTTCACTACCCGACAAACTCCGAACTTTATTCATTCATTAGGCCTACATAATAGTTTCATATCGCTGTACTATATACTCCAACATCACTGGTGCATGGTAACAACCAACTGACTCAATAACACAGCACCCCCTAGTTCCGTCACCTCTGGATATTTCTTTCTAATTATATAAATATAAAGCATTTAATCATCTACATTGTTGACATTTGCCAATAAAATTTTCTTTTTGTTTTCTCCTAGATATTTTTGGCAAAATGATCTGCTAAATAAGAAAACAAAATTTTACTTTTATTTCTTCCCGCCATCCTCTGACGAAATAAGAATAGTAAAAAAATATGTATACAGTAATTATAATCAATACCAATATGCATAATTTCACTACTGAAATTGTGTACAGGTATTGAAAGACTTTTGTGATTTTAAATACAGCAGACACACCTTTAAATTTAAACATCACTGCTTCTCTTTCTATATGTTGAGGACCCCTATGGAAACAAGCTCATTGAGCTTATAGTGCTATCCTCTTGCTCTCATTTTCGTGTGTTTTTATGTACTTGTTTTTTGTTGTGATATTATAATAATGAGGGAAATAAAACATAAACAAACAAATAAACAAACAAATCAGAAAACATCATCTTTTTTTTCTTCTCATATTTTGTTTTTATTAACTCAATGAATTTCTGTGTTTGCATCAATAACTTTTTTGTTGAAAAGCCTATTATCTAAACTAAATGAAATCAAATGGTTATCCTTTTCTTTTAAGTAAAATTAATGCAATACAGGTACTAGTAATACACTTTGTTATTTATTTTTAATAGTTATTTATTAATAAACTATTACTTTAATTCAATCCCTTTGTAAATAAATTTGCTACTTATTTTATATACTTTATATAAAATGAATAATTCATAATTATATAATACTTAATTCTAAACCAATCATAAGGTTTTTTTTTTTTAAATCGGCTGCTAATTGTTGGCCTTTTAGGCAATGTTCACACACACCATCTAACAGATCCAAATAAATAACATATGTGTTCACACTTGCGTTCACACAAGAAAATCCCGATCCAGATATCAAGAAGATGACGGTGGGATCACTGGAAATTGAAAATGCGTATGTGTGATTGGTTAATGATAAAAAAGCACTCAACTTGCTAACCGATAACGTATCTACTTTCTGAAAAAACGGTTAGCTTAGTTAATTTAAGCAACAGTTTGTTATTAAATTTGTGGGTGTTATTTTTATTATTTACCAATCAATGTGATCATAAGTTTTTATTCACTTTGCTGCTAAGTAATAAACAATAACCGGGATCGATTAATTAAAAAATGGCATAATTTACACCTCAAATGGTAAATTATTGCATAAAAACATGATTTATTAAAATACATGGTGCTATACAGTATTATATACCGCATAATTAGATTCTAGGCATCTGATTGGTTAAGAAGCGGGTAATAACTTCAACCATCACTCCTATGACTTAGGTTTGAATGATAGTTCACTTTTTCCCGGGAAAAAAGTAACTTTCACCCTAAATGAAAGTACTTTTTTGCCCTGTTGCTATGTGTAATCTCTAGGCCACCACCTACAACATTGCTATGTAATTTATGACATGCACTGATGGTAAAGGGGATGCGACCTCTACGACCCTGAGAGATTAGGCCTTTGATCGCCTAGCCCTAGAAAGTAAGCCTAGGCCTACTTGGTGTGTAATCTTTTCATTACTATACTTTTTTGGGGTTTTGTAGAATCTATGTGTGAAATCTATAGCCCCTCAGTGATGTGGAGACCATAGCCTTTAACAGTCCCCACATTACCTATAGATTTCACCATTCCCCTCATGAGCAGTCAATATTGTATACTATTATCTATTTTAATCTATCTACGTTCCTTTTAATTTCAATTTGTATAATTTTTGAGAAAAAATAATAAAAGAAAGCTCCTATCAAATTGTTTTATCTTCTAAGAACAAAGGAGCATTCACACCGAATTCAAATTTTCGGATCGGAAAACCTACCAAACCGATCAGAAAATCGAATCAGTATGTAGGAATAGGGGCACTGACATTCAGCGCATTGGAAACGTGGTCAGAATTTTGGTTCTGGATTTGATTCATGTGAATGCAGTTTAAATTGAAAACTGAATATTAGTCACACAGAAAGTTAGTTTAATCATGAAAATCATAATTAATTTCTAAAAAATCCTGAAATATTTGAATCTATTCATTTTTTACTTTACAGTAACCGAATATTTTGAGTTTAAATGTACTCATCATCATTTGTAGCATGATGCCATTAATTTTCACAACTTGTAAATATGCGCTTGAATTATATAGACAGTTACATGTTTCATCATTGCAGCGAATCAAACACAGGCATAATAGCAGGGTTACCCATTGCTTGTTGATGGTACTGCACGTCGATAGCAACTTGCTGGTGCTGTTGTTCATTGACGACTTGTTGAAGCTGTTGAACAGTTTGCGCAGACAAAGACTGAATCGCTTCTGGAAGAATCTGTATAGCCTGCTGCTGTGCATATAACGTGTACAGAGGAAATGCTGTATCTTCTTTATTCTGGTTGTCTGCCTCTTCACTGTGCTCTCTTTGTTTATGTACTTCTAGCAGTTTCGGTCTCATGTATCCCTTGCTACACAAGTTACATTTAAATCTGTAGTTGCGTGTATGCAGGACCTCATGGTCACGCAAGTTGTCGGACCGATAGAAACCTTTGCTACAGTAAGTACATTTGAATGGTTCTACCTCCAGATGAGTGTTAAGGTGATCCTTTAACTTGTCCTTGCGGGAGAACTTTCTTTCGCATCCTTCGTGAGTGCACGCAAACGCTTTCACGGGATTATGCACACAGAGTATGTGCCGATTAAGCTTGAATTTTGTCGGAAAGGCTTTTCCGCATGAGTCGCAAACGTATGGCCGTACATCGGAATGATTAAGGCGGTGTTTCTTCAGATCTCTGCTAGTCTTGTAACCCAATCCACATATGTCACAGAGGTGGTGTCTTGCGGTGTCATGGGTGAGTATGTGCATTTTTAGTTGACGTACACTTACTTGTATCTTTCCACAAACATGGCAAGGGTAGTGGTGAGTTTCATTTCTTTTGTGTTTGCTTAGGCCTGCTTCAGTTGGAAACTTACTCCAGCAAGTCTCGCATTTATACATCATGTTGTGATAATACTGCCTCATTTTTTCCTTTCTTAATTCTTTCCTTTTGGCTAATCCTGATGGTTGTACCCGCACACATGTTTTACAACCGCACCACAACATGTCTTCGTTCTCAGGGTGTGACTTTACATGTGCATCAAATTTTTCAAGCTTTGAAAAAACTTGCAAGCAAGTGTCAAGAAAACAACGGAATAGCTTGATCTTGTTATGTGTATCAAGCATATGAAGAGGTAGACAGTCAATCGTAAAGAACGTTCCGCAAGACTTGCATTTGCGGGTATTAAGGTTACGCCGTGATTCTCGTAAACTCTCATCGTTTCCTGTATTTGTAGGATCTTTCTTGTTTTCCTGCTTATCACCTTCCTCTAGACTGTTTTCCATGTCTTCAGTAGCTTCTTGCGTATTCATCAGTTGGTTATCCAGTAAGTATTGCTCTTGATCCTTCTTAATCAACTTCACAACTTTATCTACATCCTCTAAACTCAAAGTCGAGCAATCCATATTAGTTTGCTGGTTAGTTTCGTTGACATGTTCAAGTTCACTTTGGGAATTTTTCACTCGTTTTACGTCATCCAAATCAAGCCAAACTTTGTGCGTATCGACATGAATCGTAAAATCATGTCTATCACGTGAGTAGTGGTTACACAAGATGCAAATCTTACCCTTACCTTCCTGGCACTTCAGTCTGTGTTTCTCCAGATGGTTCACCAGAACAGTTCGTTTACAACGTCTACATTTTATTTTCTCATTTTTTATCTTCGTTTTGGAATCATCTTCATTATTTACCTTCGTAACATTTCCATCGTCGAGATAAGCATCACTCATGTGTTGGTCTCGGAAGTGGCTCAGAAGTAACGAAGAATGTACACTGCTGAACTGACAGAGGGAGCAGCGTCTGATACGTGAAGTGGATTCCGTTACATTGTCTGTTAATGTTTCCTTTGGACTACAGCAATTATGACGTTGCATACGAGCTCTGTTCAAGAACTGAACTTTACATTGTTTGCACAAGGATAATTCAGGCTTGGAACATACATGTTTCATATACAAATTTGAGTTTGGAAAAAAGCAATCACAATCTTCGCAGTTCTTGGCATTTGGACAATTATGGTTTTCAAGAAGGGTGGCATTCTTGAATTCACCAGCGCACTGAGTACACGTCAACTTCTGACAGACATGCGTATCCTTATCGTTCATCGTCTTGAAAACTGTTTTGCACTGAGCACATGTAAATGTCTTTCCACATTTACTTGATTTTTTCACTACCTTCTGAGAGGAGAACTGCCCCATATAATGAGAAACAAATTCTTGGACTTTTTCGTTTGCTATCATATGCTGCTTTTCAAGATGATCATTCAAGTTGATAGTGTAGTCTGAACACAACATACATATCGTATCTTTGGATCTGGTTTGATGCTCTCTTGACCTCAGCCTATCATTAGGGGTGTTTGACTGTAAAAACATGTAATTATGATCGATCAACTGTGAATTATTTGTTGTGGATTTGCAGGAATCATTTGCAATATCGGACACAAGAGCAAATTCAGCTGCTAAATCTACAATGTTATTTGTAGCCTCAATGTTCAGTTGTTGTTCAGCATTATTTGTATGTACATTTGGATCCTTGGTATTTGCACCATCTACAATCCCAGTAAATGTACAGCTTTCACCTGTTTTAAAGAGAAACAGAACATCTATTAAATTATCCCGATTGTATAAAATCACACTAGAATCAGAACATAGAAATACATGTTCATGATCACAACATATGCAGGGGTCCCATGTCTCCCGGAAGTTGTAGGAGTTTCCTGGATATTAAAATGGCTTCCCGCGCTCCTGCAAGCAAGCAAGAATCTCCCGCAAAATAACCTCCAGCAAGTTCATAATATTTGACGATGCTCATAAAATAGAAATAAAGCATGAGATGAAAAAATGGAGGTGTAGTATTTATGAATGTTATTTGTGTTTTGTACACTTGCAAAGAGTGCCATCATTCCATGAATGACTGGAGCAGTCACACGTTCTGGCTGTATTGTTTGATTCATGATTTAAATAGTATTCTTATCGGAATAACAGTTGCATTGGTACAGCCATTTTGTAAGATGTGATTATTGTGATTACACCATGGATATAAGTTATGATAACACTGGGATTCAAGTTGATCACAACATGGTAAATGTTTACAGTACAACATGGAAGTACTGTAATGCAAGAAGTGACCACAACATAGTATTTATGTGATCACAGTATGGAGAATATGCTGTGATTACCACACTGAAGTATGTTGTGAATGATCACAACATCGATATATGATGTTATTACTATAAGATATGATTACAATAAATGAATTACGAAAATAAATTAGAATCTTATTACAAAAATCGGGAAGTTTAAACATTTTGTAATCAGATATTTGAGCTAAACGTACCTGCTGTGTTGCCATCTAGATTGACTGAAATATCAGAAATAGAATATATGTTCAGATTTATGTTGCTTTGATGATTTGTTTTAGTTCTGTCTTTACTTCTGCAGACTTGGCTTTTCTTGTGTCTCTTAAATGCATTGTAGTTGAAAAACCTTTCCTTACACTTTCCACACTCGAAAACATCTTCACCTGGAATGAGAAATGTATCAAATTGTTACTCATTCTGTTTCCAAAAACATGTACTGTAGAGTAGGAAGAGTTGTTTAAAAACTTGGACATGAGTAAAAGGAGGTATTGTATGGTAAATTATGTGCACATGTGCTCTGGTTCTCAAACTATGGGTTGCTACATTACCAACATTTCATGAGGCCTACTTATTTCGTTTGTTCTTCAAAGTGACATAATAATCAAGCCCGTAGACAGAATTTTGGTAGGGGGGTTCTTTTTGATACTGAAAGGTCAAAACCCCGGTGGGGGTCCAGCATTCTAAGCATTTACAGGTGTTATTTAATTGATTTTAAAGGCCATACATTAAAAAAATGTATATATTAAAGAGGTAATTTTTTGAGTTGGGAAAAGAAAAAAAAACTACTACTTTGTACTACAGTATTGGTAATTTAACAACAGTAGCATGATACAAACTCCAAAGAATCCAGTATGGTTTATTCCTTATTTTTTATTTATATAGCACTTTGGAAGACAATCAATAACAAAAAGAACCGACAAATTTGTATGGTTGGTTGTAGCGTATTATAATCATATATATGTATATACACAGGTGAAACTATCCCCCGCCGGACACCATCCCGGTATGTCTGAGTCAAGGTTTTGGTGCCTAAATGGTCATACGTACTGCACAATAAAATATTGCATCCATAGTAATATAATATATGGTGGCCGACGATCATATCGGAAAGGTCGGCGCTCTGCTGCTGCTTCCATGCCCTGTCCCTTTGGGTGGTTAGGCCTACTGATTTGTACTACTTAAGGTTGTACTGATTAAATAATAATGTTGTAACAGTTGAAAATGCCCTATTTTCATTTATTTTTTGATATTACTAGGTAGGCCTAACAAGTATTAAAGTAGGACTTTTTTTTTAATGATAGGCTCTAGGCTAGCCCAAGGCTAGCCAGCCTTGTTGAAAGGTATTCTGTTGAAAGGGCACTTCGTGGATTGGATTTATTCGGTGTAAACACCAAGGATAGCCCACGACAGTCTAGAAGAAGACTTATTTCCAGTGGGGTCCTTCTTGTGGTTATTGGGTAGTACACCGGGAGACAATCCCCTACTCTTTTCCGAAGAGTGTACTGCGTTCTTTAACGTGCACATGGGCCATAATGCACACGGGACCAGCGGCTTAAACGTCTCATCCGAAAG